CATTATTAAAATACTATAAAGGAGTAACAACTTTAATAGGAGAATCAAGTGAAAAGTATCTAAAAAAATCTAGTGTTTATTTTAATCTGATTTGTGGAATTTTGTATGTCTGGTGTTTTGTAATCCTGTTTAACTCTTAAAAAATGTCACAATAATATTAGAAAGTATGTAAAATTTTGTAACTATTTATTCTGCATGGAATAGATTTAAAGGTCAACACTACTCTTTTATGTAGGTTATGGGTGCTACATGTGTGCTTTCAGAGCAGTAGTGTGAGGAAGCTTGAAGTGGGATGGCAGGACGGCCTCATCCTTATGACAGTAACTCCAGTGATCCAGAGAATTGGGATCGGAAATTGCATAGTAGACCTCGTAAACTTTATAAACATTCAAGGTAGGTAGCAAATATGTATTTCATATATCAAAGCTCTGATAAAATTGATTTTTATGACGAACCAAACTGCATTTGGTTGTGGCAAGTCCTGTCAGAGGATGGGGGCCGGTTTACAAAATATGGATGTTTACATTTCTCCTTAAGTAACTTTTAGAGAAATGTTTTTCCTTCTAATCGTATTTGTATTTGTAATTTTTCCTTTTAATTATATTTGTATTTGAATTTTTGTTTGTTTCTAAATCATGTTAAAATCCTTAGTTGACCCCATGAATAAATGCTATGGTTAATTTAATTGGAAATTCTGGCAAGACAGGTTAATACTTTGTATTTAAAACCCTCTAATAGAAATCTACTTTGTGCTGTAAATACATTGTGTATGATAATTTATATACTTATGTCAGTCTTTGCTTTTATACATTTTTAACTATGTGAATTTATATTGTATTATCATCTGAGCTAATGGTAAAATCAGTCTTTCTGTAGTGACTTAACTTGTTCATTTAAAGTTTGATTCATTAAATGAAATTCATTTCGAAAGTTTCAGCTCATTTATGTATTTTTAAAACTTTAATTTTGTGCTGTGTGACTAAATAAGGAACATCTCGCTTAGAACACTTTAGGATCTGATAGTTTAAGGTATTAATTGGCAGGTCATAAACCTCACATAATACAGGTATGTAAGCATTTTTTCAGAGAGTTGTGCTTTATGAATATTCACTTTTAAACTCTAAGCTAGAAAATATGAGTGACTGGTACTTCTTAAGTCTCCTGACAAGATGGCTCCCTTTATTGTGGACTTTTAATTGGTAAGGTCTAAAATGAAAACATTAAGTTGACCTTATTAATTTGTAAGTACACACCAGTGGTATGAGTGTTTTATGTTTTATTTGTTCTTTGCTGTGTGTGTCCGTGTCTTTCAATTGGCGCTCTAGTTCTTTTTCTCTGTCCTGTTTACATGGATAATTATTTTGTCTTTGAGATTAAAGAGACGTTGGTTTTATCTCATTAAATGTGGGGCTGTATTTATATCTGCTATGTTATATACAATTTTTTAGATGAATTATATATTATCCTTGCTAGTTCTTAATATTTTTCTACTGATATACGAGGCTGCATTGTATATGAAGTAGTGACAAGGTGAAAATAAGGTTTTATAAAGTTGTGTGCATATAAAAGGAAAAATTTACAAAAACTAGCAGTACTTTTTCATTGCTGTTGTTTTATTTCAGTAACATATCATAGCTCTTGATATGTATAATATCAGTAACTTTTTGGTGCACTTTTAGATAGACTGCAGCAGTGTTGTTTAAGTGAAAAATGTGAAAGAGAAATAGTAAATAAGTATCAGTGCATTGACTTTTTTAAAGTGGAAAGACCATGAAATCCTTTGTGCTTATTTTAATCTCATTCATGGAAGATCTACCCAAGAGAAAACAGCTTACTTACTTACTTTATGATGTATTTATTGATTTATTTAAATTTTTGCTTTCAATTTTTTAGTTTTTTAAAAAGTTTATTTTTATTCAATTTTAATGGTTACATTTATAGTTATTACAAACTATTGACTATATTCCCTGTGTTGAATAATACATCTTTGAGCCTATCTTAATAGTTTGTACCTCCCACGCCTCATCCCTTTATTTCCCCTCCCTCAAACCCCACGCTGGTAACCATTAGTTTTTTCTCTATATGTGTGAGTCTGCTTCTTTTATGTTATACTCACTAGTTTGTTGAATTTTTTAGATTCCATATATAAGCAATACAATACAGTATTTATCTTTCTGACTTATTTCACTTAGCATAATGGCGTCCAGGTTCATCCATGTTGCTACAAATGGCAGAATTTTGTTCTTTTTTATGGCTGAATAGTATTCCATTTGTGTGTGTATTTCTTTATCCATTCATCTGACACTTAGGTTGTTGCCATGTCTTGGCAGTTGTAAATAAAACACCTTACTTTTAGAGACCTCTTACTCCTGTGTATTTATGAGTGTATAATATAGGATACTTTAAGAATATATACAATTTGACTTTTTTTAAATGGTAGTTTTTGAATTGATAGTAAATTAATTGAGAGGTATTAAAAACTAAACAATCAGCAAGTATTGTTGAGAATGTGTGCTCAGTTTAGGAGAGATTCAGAAGTTTGTCAGGGTACCATCATGGAATGCTTTAATATCCATGTATGGAACAATTAGAGGACAATAGGACCCTAAACTGTGGTAAATGAGTTGTAGTATAATAAGAGTTCAAAGAAGAAATCAGCATCAGCTTGAGCAGGTGAAAATGAGACTTGAACTAATCCTTGGATGATTAGGTAGATGGCAGGCATTCCTGCCAGGGACTTTCTGGAGATTACCTTGACTGGGTCTGAAGGTGGAGCTCTGTAAATAATATTACTGTCCCTATTTAACAGATGGAAAAAATGAGGTGGATGAACTTGCCCAAGGCCAACCAACTTGTAAATGGCAGAGCTAGGATTTATAAACAAGTTTCTCATTCTTTTTGTTTTTAAAATTTTGAATAACTTATTGTGGTACATTTTAAATACATATGTAGTAGAGAGAACAGATGTAATGAACTCCTATGTACCCATACCCCAGCTTCAAGTTATCAACTCATGGCCTATTTTATCTATGCTTCTACCTCCTCTCACCCTTTTTTTTCTTGATTCTTGTATATTTTATTTAGAGATATTTGAGTAAAAGAAAGCCAAGCTAAACACTGGCGTAAGTTAGGGTTTTATTTTTCTTATGCATAAAAATGCCTGGTATAGATTTAATGGCTTAAGGTATTAGGGTAATAAATCTTTGATATTCTTGGCATTTCCTGATTATCACAAAATGGCTTACTGTAGTTTTAGCTATCATGTCCACTTTCCACACAAGGAGGAGGAGGAAGAGAGAAGGGGACAGTGGAAAAGTTTTCATTCATATCAGGAAATTAAATTTCTCAGACATTTCCAGCATGCATCTGCTAATAAAACATTGGCTAGAACTACATGTCATATGATCATCTCTGGACACAGAGACTGAGAAATACAAGTGTGTACATTGCCACCTCATACAGAATTGCAGATTTAAATTTACAAAAAGTAAATGCCTCAGTCCGTTCAGGCTGCTATAACAGAATAACAGACTGGGTGGCTTATAAACAACAGAAATTTATTTTACAGGGTTCTGGAGGCTGGGGAGTCTAAGATCAGGGTTCTGGCCCATTTAGTATCTGGTAAGAACTTGCTTCCTGGTTCAAACAACTCTCTTTTTGTTGTGTCCTCACATGATAGAAGGGGCTCAGGATCTCTCTGGGGTCTCTTTTACAAAGGCATTAGTCCCATTCATGAGGGCAGGCCCTCGTGAGCTAATCACCTCCTCATCTCCAAATACTATTACTTTGGGGGAATACATATTAACATATGAATTTAGGGGGAACACAAACATTCAGACCTTAGCAGTAAAGAAATAAGCATACTTTAATCAATTTTTGTGGTTATTTAAAAAAGTTGTTTAAATTTGTATTTTGTTTGTTCTATTCACATATTGGTATAGCCTGCTTTTTAAAATCTTTTTCCTTTGATTTTTTTTCCCTCTACGTACTGGCAAGGGTAAAAATTCTTGAATTATTATTAAAGTAGTAATAATTACTGTATATGTGGGCTTACCATTGAGGCTTGAGGTTTTGGTGGGCATTGCCTTATGGTTTTTCTTCTGTCTAATACAACTTTAAGGTACTTTCTTTTCTGGACTTTCTTTGAATGTCGATTTGATAGGTATAACACTGATGTAAAAGACAAAATGAAAGCTAATCTGGCTGTGGATGAAATTCAGGGTGCCTATGATTTCTCTGGAAGTGCTTATAAATGAATTCGATAGGTGAAAAAAAACGGTCTTCTGTTTCTTTCTGAGTAGTAGTTGTATAGTTGATACCTATATTGAGGTTGGTAGCTTGCTGAGATGTTAAAAAATCATTTCAGTTGAAGTGTATTTGGCTTTAATTGAAACAGTTCTTTAACTTATAAATTAGAGGAGTTTTTGCTACTTAAAGAGAAGGAAAAAGCACCTTTCTGTATAACTAACGTTAAAATGCCTGGAGTGACAATATGCTAAAAGCTCTCGCATATTTGAATTGGGTCGAATACAACTATTTAAAACTCAGATCTGCAGTCTGCTCAAGTTACTAAAGATAAATGCATCATACATTCAATATCAGGCTTTGCCGCAAGATTCATGCCCACATGGAAGTACGCATGCTCTTCTGAGGCTGCATTGAAGATTGAGCTTTCTCATTTCCTTTTAAAGTCGCTCCTTAGCCCCAGCAGCAGTTTAGAAATGGGAAAGTTTAGTTGCTTTAAAGAGTAGTTCTTTAGTGGGTTCTTAAAGTACAGATAATATTTTCCCTTTTGTTTTAAAGAGAAGCCTTACTGCTCAGAATGGGTACGCAATAAAATATTGAAAGGAAAAAAGAAAGCTGCATCCTAGTTTTCTAAAACCTGGCAGGCTGGCAGAGCTAGAATTAGCTTTACAGATGGCATTTGGCAACATATCTACATATCACTAAGCCCTCATCTCCTGAGTTTCTTCAGCCTGTCTATCAATTACAATGTCCAATCATTGCACAGAAATGGAGAAATGGGATGATCATAGTTCACACGATGCTGTTTGGTTAGAAACGTCAGTGCTGCACAACCCACGGCTGAGTCAGTGTCTGTGAGAAAATGAACTGAATTAATATATAGAGGGGGTTGTATCTCTGAACATTTAAAGCCTAGATAACCGCAATAGCATTATTAACACAGTAGAGGGAGGAAAGCAAAAGGAGGTCTGTGGACAGGTGAGGTAGGGTGACTGGGAAATTTTGATTGTTCAGAGGAATTCTGAAGATGATGGAAATATCAGATGTGCTAAAGTTTCCTAGTAATGCCCAAGGATGCTGACCTGGCTTTCAGTGCTGCATTGTTTGAAAAAGCAGAGTCCCTTTATACTCTGATTTCAAATTTTTTTTCTTGTTTTTGTGTGTCTACCTTGGCATATACTAAAGTAAGGTGTGTATTCATTTATTACATGATAATGCTGGGTTATGATTCTATACATATATAAATATGAGAGAGATGTTTGGCCTTTGTTTCATTATGATCATTTGTTTCTGGATGTAAAAGATTCTATGTCTTTTCAGTTTAATAGCTAGTTATTTAAAATAAATAGTGTGTTTTTATTGTTCTCATGGGTTTGATGCTATGTTTTTAAATTTTATTTAAAGTCATTAGTAGAATCTTCATGTAACTTGAGAATGCATTATGTTTGGTATTGTTTCTTATGAATATTATACAAAATTTACTTAAGGAAAGACTAATTTTGAAGTAATATTTTTGATATATTTGAAAATAAAACTCAAAGGTAGAGAAATGAAATGAATGAAATAATTTCCTAAAGAAGAAGGTGAATGTATTTTTATTTTTGGATAAATTGAAGATCAGTTGAACCACTTTGTATGTATTTTACAGAACTGACTGTATTTGAGTGATAAAGTTTTAATTGGTTAAAATGACTTTTTTTCTGGTCTTTTAGAACATAGACTCTGAATAGATGATCTAGATACTGCCACTGAAATAGAGAGCAAGTCAGATAAGTTTTTGGATTATTGCACATTGATTTTCAACCAGACACAGTTGCTAAATAAATAATTGTTCTTGCTGTGAGATTTTAAGTCTTGACAGGTGACATGGCTTACTTTATTAGGAAATTTTGGCACAATTTTCAATAATTTGACTAATGTTTTTCTTCTGTCTTTATTATTCTTATCCTACTGATCATTTTGTAGAGATTTGGGGAGATATACAACATTTTTAAATTATTTTATTTTAAGTATTATTAAATATTTCATAACATTCTTTACTTGAAATGTCAGGAAGTTCTTGTGAACTTAATTTAATTTCTAAAAGTTCGAATGGTCATCTTGGTTATAGTTAGGCTAACTGGTGGTATCTTGTTTTTTTTTTTTGGTGGTTTGGTATCCAGAAATGTTTTTCTAAGTTATAAAAGCAGAAATCTCATGGTAGACATTTTTGTCTTTTACTTTATAGAATATTTTTCTCTGGTTTGGCTGATTTTTTAAAAAAAAATGCCTCTGTTACTGTAAAAATGATACATATTCGTTACATAAACTTGGTAGATACAGAAAAGCACATAGAGGAAAATAAAGAGGTTATTTTACCATCAAAAGAAAAATATTTTAAATATTTTTTCATATAACCTTTTTTCCTGTGTATATATAAAAACATAAAATCACATGTATACACTTAAACGATTTTGGGATATTACTGTATATACTGTTATGTAACCCATCTGTTTTCTTTTTTAATAAAAAGTGAACTTAATTATGAACATTACCTATGTCATGAAGCAGTCTTATGTAGCGTAATTCCTAAGAACTGCATAGTGTTTTATGTATATATATATTTTGTTATTTATTTCATCAATGAGTTTTTCTGATTCATTTTTTTAAAATTAACCAATTATTTTTATTGAGGTATAGTCAGTTTACAATGTGTCTAGTTTTTCTGGTTCTTGATCAAAGATCAGCTTGATTCCACAACATAAATTTCTCTGAAAAGGAAGAACGTCTTAGGGAGTTAAGTAAAAATGTAATTTTGATATTTTTGGGGAAAGAAAAAGATCCTTAGTATGATTACACAATGAACTCTTTAAAGATATGCAACTGCTTTTAAAATAAAGCAGATAAGATTGTCAAAATAAAGTATAGAAGATAAATCTTTTTAAAAATCAGGGATACAAGAGCTCAAATAAGCTGAGACTTTAGAAAAAATGCTAAGATCTACCAAAAGTTTTTTATATTACATTTTAAAAAAATAATCAAGGGAAGTGTTATAATAATGCTTGGCAATGTGGGAAGAAAAAAATTCCTCAACTCTTATTTAGGAGCTTCTGTCAGAGAGGAAGGGAAAACCACCACTACCGTCAATAATACTAACAAAGCAAACGTAGCTAGTCAGGACATAAAAACCAGCATGAATACAGAGATAAATAATGCGTCTAGCTAAATGAATTATCTTCTGGACCAGTTGAAACATCTTATAGTTAAAAAAGGAACTGCCTGTAAAATCTTAAAATTATTGTAGTCTTTAAAGGTTTTAGGAGAATACAAGAAATGCTAAAAGATGGGGGAGTCTAGGTTTGATTTTGAAAATGTAGAAGATTTTAGAGCAGAAAATGAAAAGGATAGTTTATGACTAACTTGAAGAAAAAAATAAAAGACCCAGAATGGGCTTGCTATAAAAATAGATTGTCAGGACAACTTTGATTTTTCTCTGGTGCATTTGGTAGATCAGTAGCTATATATATATCTATTTAGACTTAAGCTTAGTTTTTGGTTAAGTCTTTTTTTATATCCTTCTGTATAAGGTGAAGAAAAAATGAGTTAACCATTAGTTGACTGTGTTAATATATCATCACAGTTTTGATTTTGAAGGACCCTATCCAAAGGTTATTGATGTTGAAAGATGGCTTTGTTCTTTGCTTTGTCTTACTGCTTATCTGGAGAAGTAAAATTATCAAAGTTATAGATGACAGTAAAGAAAGAAGGATAGTAAATAAGATAATATATGATCCAAAATGATCTCTGAGTCTGGATTGTTGGACTGAATTTAAGGAGTGTACATTAGTCCTGAAAAACTAATATACATTAAGTTAGCATGGATTTAGAGCATCACATATGGAAAAGACCTGACAGTAGTTGTTAGTGGTAAACTTAATGTAAAACGAAAGTACAATGTGGATGCCATCATCCATCTTCTCCACTACCACTGCCCTTAGAAACTATTGTAATCAATGGAAAAGACTAGGGCCACTTCTGCATACCAATGTATTGTCTTTAGTTCTGTGCATATGACTCTGTGCATATGTTTTTCAAAATACACAGTCACATCCAGTGTTCATTATGTACACTGCTGTAAGCCTGGTCCAAGTCACTTTTGGCTCTCACCTGGATTATTTGTAGTATCTTCCAAAATGGTCACCTGATTCTACCTTTGCCCTCATTCTTCCAGAATGACTCAGAGGAAGAATGTGAAGAAATTGGAAGCCTTGTCAGCTTAGAGGACTGAAAATTTAGAGGTCTTGGGGGCAGCTCTGGTAGATGTTAAAGAATCTCACAATAAGAGTTTTTTTTTTCAAATATGTGAAGAATTATCCTTTGGAAAAGAAATTAGACTTCGTTTGTGTCAGACTTGTTTGAGGTTAAAAGCATGAGCTCTGAAATTGAACTCCTTAGGTCACATCTCAGATCTGCCAGTTAATTAGCTGCATAATTTTAGGCAAGTTGCTTAGCCTTTAAGCTCCCATTTTCTCAGCTGTAAAATGGGGATGGTTTTGAGGATTAAATGAAAGTATGTGTAAAGTGCTCAGTATTGTGCCTGGCATATACTAAATGCTCAGATGTTAGCATTGTAATTGGTGTTATTTGGTTCTCAACCAGAGGGGTGATTTTGCCCCTTATTGAGTGTTTGGCAATATCTGAGGACATTTTTGGTATTACAGCTCAGGAGGGGAGTACTACTCGTGGGTGGAGGCCAGGAATGCTACTAAACGTCCTACAGTGCACAGGATAGCTCTCCACAACAAAGAAAGCCCCAGCCCCTGAACTAGTAGGATCAGATTAAAAAGGTTTCATTAAGCTTTAATGTTAAAGAAAAACTGCCTGAGAGTCAGAGCCTTCCAAAGATAGAAAAAAACTGTCAAAAAAAAAAATCGCGTTACCCTTCCCTGTCAGCCAGTTCGTGGGAACTTAGTGGGTGAAATGCAAGGATTAAATGGATGTTTGGGCTAGATTTTCTAAAAGGTTTTTCCTAAATTTAGATTCTATATTTCTATGACTATTTCTTAATAGTTAGGCGTAATCCATGACCAACATCCAAGGACATGTGATGTAATTTTTTAATGTTTAATTTTCTCAATCTAATTGCAGTATAGTTTAGATTTTTAATTTTAATTCTTTTAATGCTTAAAATTTTATATGAGGCATGAAACAGGGAATTTAATGAAATGAGTCAATTGTGTTTTCAAAAGTCCATGTGGAAGTGAGTTATTGTGGGAGCTTTGTAATTTGTCTTCAGAAACTTGTTTTGTGAAACTGATTTGTTAAAATATTCACAATCATTTGATAAATATTTTAAAACTAAATCTTGTATTTGTACTTCTTATCTCCTTTCCATTGTTTTATTTTTCTTTTTTGTTTCTAATAATAAGTAGAAAAAGATGCTCCAGAGGTTTTAAAAAATAATTACCCTTTGAAGCATCATTAAAAGTACTTGTGTGTGCATTGTATTATTCTTAAATCATGAACGTTGCCCAAAACAGTAACTGGCACAAAGTAGTCATTTAGTAAGTATTTGTTGAGTGAATGACTCAGAGGAAGATACAGAGTTTGCCTGACCAACCATTAATTTAAATCTGTGCAATTATTAATAGTGGTTAGCTATACTTTAGAAATCGTTTATAATTTTCTGTGGTTGGAAGTTGCTTGAGAGTACTAAGTATTTAGAGATTTCCAACTCCCGGATTTTTATCTCTAACCTGGATTTTCCCTGAGCTTTAGCCTGTTGTATCTAACTCCATATTTGAAATCTCCATTTGGCAGACTAATAAACACACTCTTAACATGTCTAAAAAACATTTACACTTTGCAAATCTAATTGATTACTTCCACTCTCATTCTCATTCAGTAAGTGGAACTTCCATTCTTTTAGTTGCTCCAGGCCAAAATCATAATCATCTTTGATTCCTCTCTCTCACCTTCTACATTTAATTTATCAAATTTCAAAGTCTTGTTCTTCAAGATACGTAGTCACATCCAGTGTTTATTATGTACACTGCTATAAGCCTGGTCCAACTCACTTTTGGCTCTCACCTGGATTATTTGTAGTAGCTTCCAAAATGGTCACTTGATTCTACCTTTGCCCTCTTTTCTTTCGTTGTCCACTTTATCTAATGTAAGTTAAGTTGTGGTACCCATACTTCAGTGGTACCCATTTCACTCAGATCAATAGCAAAAATGCTTTAGACATTCTTTCAGGGTCCTCCATAATCTGATTCTAGTCTTGTCTCTGAGCTCCTCTTTTCCCACTGTCCCTCTTGTCTCTGTTCCAGCTGTTCTGGCCTTTTTGAATGCCTTAAAAAAGCCACGGATTACTTTTGGCACAGGGTCTTTGCACCTACTCTTACCTCATATATTCCCATAGTTCTGTTTCTCACTTCCTTAGATGTTTGCTAAGACATCTCCTCAGAGTCTTACCTTGACCACTCCATGTGAAATAGAACCTCTCACCTCAAAATGGTGACTTTCTGTCCTCTTTACCTTGCTTTATTTTTCCCATAGCACTTACCACCATATGATATTTAATATATGTTCTATGTTTTTCTGCATTAGAATATATTAATTTTGAGGGCAGGGACTCTCTTGGTTATATTCTCCAGGGCTAGAATAATAAGCAGAATGTATTAGGGGTTCAGTGAATGTTTAGTAGAATGCATGATAAAACTAAAAACATTGCTAGAGAAGAGGAGAAGAATACTTCTAGTTATTATAGGGTGTAGTCATTATACATTGCAAGCACCTGATACTTATTAATGAATTAAAACCATGGCATTTTTTAGGACTAAAAAAATTAGGTATTATAACTTCAATTTGGAGACTCCTCAATTTGAAGAAGTTCTTTTTCAGCAACATCTTCCTTTATTTAAAAATTTCCTTTATTTAAAAATCAAGAAACAAGGTAATAGACATTTTAAAAGTAAAATAAACCTCCAGCCTTTGCTATCTGCATGAAAGTAATTTTTGTCAGTTAGGAAAACTTCTACCTTGATAGTAAAATATTACAGGTTTGGCCATTAAGAGAAATTTTTCTGTCAAAAATTTTAGTATCTCAGTCTTCATTTGACTTCAGAGAAAAAGTTGCTCTTAGAGTGACATACAACAGTATATCAAACTCCCTTGATGTTGCTCCTGCTTCTGCCTCCCTAGAGTTGCTGACATGCCTGACAATGGGATTTTAGGAAGAAGAGAAAGAGTAGTATTAAAACTTTTCTTGAGCTGTATTTGTTGCTAAAGTTGTCTTGTGGGGAAATCTGGGATTTAAGTGTCATTTAAAATATTTCTATGGAAAAAAAATACCTCAAGTGGCATACTTACAGATGACCTTTGAGAGCATAGCCTATTCCTCAGTTGAGAACTGCCCTTTTCAGTGATTAGCCTTTGTTTCTTGGGAAACTGATCATGAATTAAGCAGAACAAAAACTTATAGAAAAGGCTAATTGACAAAAAAAAAGGAAAAGAAAGATAAATTTGCATTAAATCTGTTGAAAATAGATTTAAAAGTTGAATAGCATTTCTTACCATCACAGTTACTGATACTTAACATGAAGATCAGCAATATTCTGTAAAGGGCTAGATAGTAAATATTTTTGGCTGTATGGGCTACAGAGTCTGTCACAACCACTCAGTTTTGCCATTATGGAGTGAAAGCAGCCATATACAATATATAAATGAGTGGGCATGGTTGTGTTCAAATAAAACTTTATTTACAAAATCAGGTAATGAGTTGAATTTGGCTCATGAGCCATAGCTTGCCAACTCTTGACCTAAAAATAAAAATCATATGAAATTAATATCTTAAAAATACTAATGTAAAATCATTTAAAAGATTTAGTTAAAATATTTAAAATTTAAGATGATATTTTATTACTATAGTAATAGAAACAGCTTCTTTTTCCCAAAAATAAAACTAGGATTTAAAATATTGCTTCTTTAATAAGGACAGACTAATTTAGAAAAAAGGATGGGAACATCTGATCCAAAATTTACAATGATACTTATCTTTAAGAAAAAAATATGTTTTTAAAAGCTTGATTAAATTTTAAAACACCTTGTAAACTGTAAGTCTTTGTATCTATCTCCACACACACACAAAAACACACATAGTAGTAGTTGACAAAGAATAAACAATTGACAAAAGAAATGCCTAGATGTTATATATGTCCTGAAACTTCAGCTAAATTCAACAAACGTTAATAAGATGCACCAGGTTATGTTAGTTGCTGAAAGTGTTTAAAGATAAATAATTCCTCAAACCAGGAAAGTGCCGTCACATAAAGTTGTACCATATGTATACTACATAAGGGTGCCATATATAAGTGAGTACCAGTCACTTTGTAGATATTTTAGTTTTATGTATTTGTTACAACAGTTTTTTGTCAACAGCAGTGCTAGTAATATAAGCTACTTCTGGGAATTTTTCATGTATTATTTCCTGGATAATTTACTCTTCTCTGTTTTCTCTGTTCTCTCTGAGATGTATATTATTTGATTGTTCACCTCCTTCATTAGTGCTTGAATTTTATCATCCTTTCACTCTTATTTTCCACTTCTTTATCTGTCTTTTATTCCAAGTTTTTTCTTTCAACCCTGTTAGTAACCTTTTAAAATTTTTACTCTTGTGTTTTGAATTTCTAAGAACTCTCTCATCTAATTAAAAAAAAACCCAGCATTCCTGTCCATTTCACTTTATTTTTCTGATATGTACTCTATGATATTTTACCACATGTAGATTTGTGTAACTACCACCACAATCAGGATACAGAACTTCCACATCACCACAAAGAAACTCCTTCATGCTGCCCTTTTTGAGTCATACCCTTTCTCCATCCCTAGGCAGCCCCAGGTTTATTCTCCATTATTTTAATTTTGCCATTTTGAGAATAATATATAAATGAAATTAGATAGTAGATAAACTTTTGGGTTTGGATTTTTTTCTTTCAGCATACTGCCCTTGAGATCCATTCTCACTGTTGAACATATCAGTAGTTCTTTTTCTGTTTGAGTAGTATTGCATTGTATGGGTGTACCACAGTTAATTTATCCATTCAGAGAAGGCATGGTTTTTGTTATAAACTTTGCAATATTGTTGGATTTTAAAAATTCTGTACATATTACTGTAGTTTTATTACCTCTGCTCCTCCATAGGAGTCCATAGTTGCACTGAACAAAATGATAGAGACTAAAGACAATTTTTCTTTTGTTCTTAGGAACCTGCCTACCATTGGAAGCTATTGATGTAATCAAGAGTTTTTACCACAAATTAGGTGGCAAGTTCATATGCAGAGGTTCATACAAAATTAGTATGCTAAAGTTGAATGTAAATAGATCCTTGCTTCTGAGAGTGACTTTTAGTAAGATTTAAAAATTTTTTGAGAAACTTACTGATTTACTTGATGCTTCAAAGCATTGATTTTGAAATTAAGTGAAAACTTGGTATAAGATAAAGAAATCAGAAATCTTTTTTGCTTATAAAGTTGCAAATTTAAAAAAGGAAAGTATTTTCTTTTGGCTGTAGGGTTTGTGTTTAAGGTGGGTGTATTTACATAACTAGAGATGCTAGAAGTGATATTTCTTAATTGATGAAAATTGTGATCTTAGAGGATTCATGATTAAGGATTCTGATTTGGGTTTGTTGGGTGATAACTTTATTGGGTGATAAATTTTGATCTGTGAGGTTTTCAAGTGATAATCAGTTGGAAGTGGCAGTTTTAAAAATCTTTAGAAAATACTTTGGTTTCGTGAGAACATGAACCATGTTATAAGAGGGAGGTGCAGGAAGCTATGTAGTTTGGTAAAAAAAGAATTTATAATTTATTAGAAGAAAGGCATGACTTCTATATGTGATTGAAATGGTTAAATAGCAACTTCCTAGGAAGGTAGTCTAAAGCAGACTGTTTTGCCCAAGAGGCCAATTCTGGTGTACAGTTTGGTAAATTTTGATATATGTATGCACTCATGAAATCTCACCACAATCAAGGTAATGAACATATACATGCAAAAATTTCCTTGAGGTCTTTTGTGACCCTTTCCTTCTGCCCCTTCCTACCCCCATCTCCATGCCTAGAAAACCACCAATTTGTTTTGTGACATATACATTAGTTTTTTGTTTCCTAGAATTTGATATAAATGTATCCTTTTCTGGGAGGGGAGGGTATCTGGCTTCTTTTACTCAGCGTAATTATTTTGTGCTTGATCCGTGTTATAACTTTTATCAATAGTTCATTCCTTTTTGTTGTTAAATAGTTTTACATTTTATGGATATACCACAAATTGTTTATCCAGCCACCTGTTCATAGACACTTAGGCTGTTTCCAGTTTTGGGCTGTTACAAATAAAGCTACTAACGATGTTTGTGTCTTTTTATGGACATACACTTTCATTTTTGTGGGGTAAATACCTAAGTTGGAATGGCTGGATCCTATGGCTAGTGTGTGTTTAACTTCATAATAAACTGTCAAACTGTTTTCCAAGATAGTTTTCAAAGCAGTGCTACCATTTTACATTACTACCAGGAGTAGATGAGAGTTCTGTTTTATACACATATTCACCAACACTTGATATGGTCAGTCTTTTCATTTAGCCATTCAAACAGATGTGAAATGGTTTCTCATTATGGTTTTAAGTTGCATTTTCTTAATGACTAATGGTGTAGCATCTTTTCATTTACTTATTTTTTTCCATCTGTATATCTCAAATCTTTTGCCCATTACTTTGAGAGTTCTTTATTATAAAACCAATTCTTCATCTGATAGATGGTTTCATTTTTATAAATGTCTTTAGAAGAGTAGAAGTTTTTAATTTTGATGTAGTCCAACTTCTCATTTTATTTTTTTTAATACGTTGTGCATTTTTTCCTCTAGTAGTTTTAGCTTTCAGATTTAGGTTTGTGATCCATTTTGAGTACACTTGTGTATGATACGAGCTTTCGATCAGAGTTCTTTTTTTTTCCTTCCCCTTGAGGTTCTGGAAGTGGATTATTTGTTGTATATCCATTAGTTTTAACACTGTTTGGTGAAGAGAGTCTTAGATTGTCTTTGAACTCTTGTTGAAAATGAGTTGTCCGTATAATGAGTTGATCTACTTGCTTCTCATGCCAGTAGTACACTGTATTCATCCTTTACCTTTTATAATAAGCCTTGAAATCAGCTTGTGTGGTTTTCCAGTTCTGTTCTTTTAACAAAGTTATTCAGGAAATTCTAGGTCCTTTGCATTTCCATGTGAATTTTAGAATCATTTTGTAACTATAGACAAAGAAATATGCTTGATTTTCAGCTGGAATTATATTTGTAGATCAACTTGGGGCAAATTGACATCTTAGCAGTATTGATTATTCTAACTTGTGAACATGGTAAGTTTTTTCATTTACTTAGGTCTTTAATTTCTTTTAGTGAAATTTTGTAGTTTTTAGCATGAAGGTCTTCTACATCTTCTGTCAGATTTATCCTTAAATATTCACTTTTTTGATGCTATTATAACTGTTTAAAAAAATTCAGTATCTAATTGTTGCAAGTATATAGAAATACTGTCGATTTTTAACTATTGATCTTCTGTTTTGTGACCTTGCTAAGCTCACTCATTAGTTCTAGTAACTTTTAGTGCTAGAGTCTGTAATAGATGATTATGTTGCCTGCAGATAAGAACAGTTTTAGTTCTTTTCCCATCTGGATGCCTTCTGTGTATTTTTCTTGCTATATTGCTCTGGCTAGAATCTTCAGTACATTGGAGAAGAGAAGTGGTGTGAGTGGATATCCTTGTTTTGTTCCTGATCTTAGGTGGAGAGCATTTGGTCTTTGACTGCTAAGTATAAAGCTGGCTATAGGTTTTCCAAAGATCTTTTTTCAGCTGATGAAATTCCATTGTATTCCTACCTTGCTGAGGTTTTTGTTTGTTTGAAATCAGGAATGGATTTTGGATTTGTCAAATGTATTTTCTATGTACATTGTGATATACTTTTTTTCATTAATTGGTTAATATGGTGAATTACATTGATTTTTTTGAATATTCATCCAGTCTTGCATTTTTGGTATAAACCCCATTAGATAATGATGTATTGACATTTTTATATATTGCTGTATTCACATTACTAAAATTTAAAAAAAAATTTACATCTGTGTTCTGAGGGATGTGGGTTTGTAGTTTTCTTGTAATGTCTTTCTCTGGTTTCATTGTCTGGGTAATGCTGGCCTAATAGAGTGAGTTAGGAAATACTATCTTTTCTTCAGTTTTCTGGAAGGGTTTGGGTAAGATTGGTATTTCTATCTTAAACACTTGGTAGGATTATCAGTGAAGCCATCTGGGCCTGGAGCTTTCTTGGAAAGTTCTTAACTATAAATTCAAATTCTTTAATAGGCATTGAGCTATTCACCTTATCTGTTTCTTTTTGAGTGAATTGTTGAATTTATATGTATAGTTGTTTATAATATTTTTCTATCATTCTTTTAATATATGTAACCTTTGTGGTGATGTCAGTTCTATCATTTCTGATATTGGTAATTTGTATCTTCTCAGTTTTTTCCCCCAGTTTGGCTAAAAGTTTGTCAGTTTTACTGATCTTTTCAAAGAACTGGCTTTTGTTTTCATTGATTTTCCTTATTCCTTTTCTATTTTCTATTATTTTGATTTCCACTCTGATATTTAATATTTTTTTTCTGCTTCCTTTGGATTTAATATGTTCTTTGGCTTCTTAATGTAGAAACTTAGGTGACTTTTCTTAGACCTTTCTCCTTTCCTAACATAGGCATTTAAAGCTATAATTTGCTTCATAACTACTGCTATAATGTCATGCCATTCCACAAATTTTGATGTGTTGGGTTTTTTTCACTTCAAACTCTTCTCTTTTCCCTTCTGATTTCTTCTTTGTTCCATGAGTTATTTTAAAACATGTTACCTAATTTTCAATATTTGGAAATTTTCCAGGTATCTTTCTGTTATTGAATTTTAATTTAATTCCATCATAATCACAGAACATACTTTGTATGATTGAATTCTTTTAAATTTATTGAGACGTGTTCCGTTGCCCAGAATATGATCTGTCTTGATAAATGATCTGTGTGCATATCAAAAGAATGAGTTTTCTGCTATTGTTGGGTGAAAAGATCTATGAATGTCAGTTAGGTCAAGCCAGTTGATAGTGTTGTTCAAATCTTATTCATCTTTACTGATTTTCTGTCTACTTGTTCTGTTAAATATTATAAGAAGGATATTGAAACATCTGATGTATAATTGTGACATCCTCCTTGTAATCAGTCTTTGCTTCATGCATTTTGAAGCTCTGTTATGAGGCAGAAGAACTTTGGGGGTTGTTAAGTGCTCTTAATGAATTTACCCCTTTATCCTTATGAAATACCTTGGTAGTATTCTTTGCCTTTAGGTCTACTTTGATACTAATATAACCCGTTCTTGTATTTTGACTGATGTTGGCAGTTTGTCTTTACTTATCCTTTTATATTGAACCTCTCTGAACCTTTATATTTAAAGTGTGTTTCTTATAGGCAGCATATAGTTGGGTCTGGCATTTGTATACCGTGTGATTCTCTCTACCTTTTATGGTGACTATAGATATGGTTAAGGTTAAGTCTGTCATCTTGCTATATATTTCTACTTGTCCCATTTGTTCTTGTTTCCCCATCCTCTTCCTTTTTTTTCTTTGCCCTCTTTTGGATTAATTATATCTTTCTTATGATTTCATTTTATCTCCTTTGTTGCCTTATTAGCTATAATTCTTTGTTTCCATATTTCAGTAATTACTTTTGAGCTTATAATATACATCTTTAGTTTATCACAGTCTACTTTCAAGTGATATTAAATCATTTTCTTGTGTCATATAAGAGCCTTATTAATAATGTACTTCTATTTCTCTCCTCCCAGACTTTCTGCTATTTCTCATGTTCTTAATTCCTTTGTATAGAGTCATTATTTTCATCTGGTGTTATTTTTCTTCTGCCTAAAGGGCTTCCTTTAACTGTCTTATCATGCAAGTCTCCTCATGATGAATTAATTCATCTTTTTCGTATGTGTCTGAAAATGCATTTCCTTTTTACTTTTGAAAGATGTTTTTGCTAGATATAACAAATATAGGTTGACAGGTGTTATTCTTTTGTTTTTGTATTTTGGGGGGTGGTGGAAGGGGAGGTAATTAGGTTTATTTTGTAAATGGAGGTACTGGGGACTAAACCCAGGACCTTGTGCATTCTAGGCAGGCACTCTACTGCTGTGCTATATGCCCCCCACCTTTTTTAAAACATGTATTTGGAATTTGCTGTGTATGTTGCATTTGTGGGTTTGTAGTTTTACTTACATTTCAGGACATTTCTTTACATTTTTTTTTCTCCTCCACCTTTCTTCCTTTATGGACTCTATTTATACCTATATTAGGGCAGTTGAAGTTGACTTGTAACTCACTCATGCTCAATTAATTTTTCTATAGTGAATATTATATTCATTTGTGTATTTCCTGTTACTGTGTCTTCAAATTCACAATCTTTTCTTCTATAATGTGTCATCAATCTTCCATTAATTCCACTGAGTATATTTTTCATCTCAGATACCATCATTTTTTTCTCTTTGGAAGTTTGACTTGCATCTTTTCAACATTCTTTATCTCTGCATAACTTTTTGGAGGAATATGGTTATACTGACTATTTTAATGTTTGTTTCTAATTTTAAGATATGTGCCAGTTCTGGGTTGATTTCAGTTGAGTTTTTTCCTTATGTTTTCCTGCTTCTTTACATGCCTGGTGATTTTTTATTGGATGCCATACATTGTGAATTTTACCTTGTTTGGTTGCTGAATATTTTTGTATTCCTATGAAAGTTCTTGAGCTTTGTTTTAGGGTTCAGTCTAGTTACTTGAAAACGATTCTTTCAGCTCTTGCTGTTAAGATTTGTTGTGATCAGAACAGTGCTCAGTGCTCAGTTTCATTTCCCACTTCAGAGCCAAGACCCCTTAGATTCTCTCCCCAATAACCTTTTATGTGGTTTTCCAGCCTGACTTAGGTTGGGGGGTGATGCGCAGGGGGAGGAACATGTTTATGTTGATTGGTACTCAAGCTCAGCACTCTAGGAATAGACTCTCTGCAGTCTGTGAGGTTTTCTCTCTATTATGCTCTCCCCTTTCTGGTACTCTTTCCTGAAAACTAGCTACCTGTTGTCCCCAACCTCTCAACTCCATATTCTTAACTCAGAGTCCACGAACTTCTGCATGGGTTTTGCTTCCCTGTGTTTTACTCTAGAAACTTAATTTGAGACAGTTGTTGACCTTGTATTATTTGTTTTCCATACTTCAGGGATCACTCTATTCCTAATGTACTTTGCCTTACAAACCATTGTTTCGTGTATTTATTTATTTTTGGGGGTTGTTTCGGACAGGAAAGTAAATTCAGTCCTTGCTTCTCTGTCTTGGCTAAAAGCATATGTTGGGGCTAATATACTCTAGCTTCTTACCTGTTCTCAATTCATATATCTCAGACTCTTTTAGAGGCAACATGATGCAGAGTTATCCCCTCTGAACTTGCTTGTCCTCATTTTCTTTTGCACGTATCAATTATTTTTGCCCTTAGAGTGCTTTTCTGATCTAAAATTAATTAAGTAGAGTAGGACATAATTAGTCTTCTATGACATATAATTTTGAAGGTCTTCCATTCCACATTACATTGGGGAATGAAAAGAAAGGATGGGAGTGTATTATGACACCTTTTGTATTTATTTAAAATCTAAACAGTTTAGAAATGAAGCCAGGATTTCAGCAGAACACATAGCAATATTTAATCTTTCAGCTTCAGAGATGCTTGGTGGAAAAGCTTTTCCAGTTAATCAGTCTGCTTGGCCCATACTCAGACTGAGCATTCATGCTGCATTTGCCTTAGTCATAGTTGTGTTTGTACCTTGTTCATTAAATTGTCAGTTAGAGTGATATTTAAGAAAATGTGTTTATTTGCACATTTAAATCTTACCAGCTAGAATATGAGGAGTTTTTTTTTTTTTAATATATAATCCTTTTTCTTTTAGTATGGATTCCTCTCTTTTCCCTCTTTTAGGACAGAAATTCCACTGTTTCTGCTCCAAAGTTTTTAACATAAATACTGTAGGATCTTTTGATTTGTTCTATTTGAAGGAAAAAAAATTGTTCCAAGGATGCTATCCTACCCTGATCTTTTTCACTAGGAAGGAGGTGGGAATAGTTTTTTCTCCCTGTAGGTATATGAGAGACAAATTGATAAAAGCTGACAGGTTGCCTTTTTTTCCCTGAAAGTCACCCTAGAAGGGTAAATACAAAGTCAGCCTTATCTTTTGTCTGTTTAATCTGCTATAATGAGATGATAACGATTTTCATAATGAAAGAAACCACTAGAATAACAAAACACAGTATTATAGTTAATAAGTAAACAGAGGAGATGATCCTGAAGCACTGCAGGATTTAAAACTGTATGATCAAGACTGAAACTTAACTAGTGTGGTTTTGGTGAAGGGAAGCAGGGTAGCATTGTGGAGGGAGCACTGGGATGAATCAGAAGGCTTCAGTTATTAGCATTTCCACTAAATATTATGTGACTTCCATCAAGTCTTGTAATTTTGAATTTTAATATCCTCACCTGTAGTAACTAGATAAACTAACTTTAATGGATGATTTTATTGTGCCAGGTACCTTGCTGGTCAACTTATTTAAACTTCATTTTATCCTTATGTTAACCTCAGAAAGTAAGTAGAATCTACATTTTACAGATGAGGAAACTAAGGAACAGTCAACATGTTGAGCAATTAAGTATTAAAGAGCAGCTTGATTCTAAGTATTTATTACTCCAGGGTCATGGAGTTCCTACTATTCCTATTTCTCTGTTTCTAAAAGACACTAATATTTTTCATTTGTGAATCTTGTTATATGCTAAGATGGTAAATTTTTACCTGTCTTAAATTAGGTTCTCTCATTTTTGTTTCTGTCAGTTTTCCTACCTGTGATGTATTACTGATTATTAAAATCTTATCTATCTGTTAGCAAATCTCGTTCACCAGTGATTTATAGTGATGTCTTCTTGTGAGATCTTAAAGCATTTGTTGTGCCACTCATTTTTTAGTTATATATTTGAGACATATTTAGTCATTTTATATTTGAAATTTGGGATAACTCTTGAAGTGCTTAAATTTCTCCATGTCCATGTAGTACTGCTACACTTGAATCATAAGCTCCTTGAGGGAGCGGATTCTCTCCTGGCCTGTAGCACAGTGTTGTGCAGACATAATTTAATAAATAACTGTGTGAATGAATGCTGTCAACTAGACCATTTTAATCATCATTCTCAGTTATTTACTTCTCATGGTCAAATTTACTCTATGTAAGATGTTTTCAAATTTTAAATTCTGTGACTCTGTACAGTCAGTGCTGTTAGCTTTTTAGAAAATTGCTTTTCAAATATTTTGAGGAGAGTTCAGAAATCAAAATGAGTTGGTTGGAGTTATCATGTAGACATTTTATTTGACAGGGAGACCAGTTACTTTGCCCCATACCTCAGTTTTTAAAGAGTTCCAGAAGCTGGTACTCTTTCCCTCTCTTTTTCCCTCTCAATGAAAGAAATCAAGAGAACATTTGAGTAATATTTAAGAGGTCTGGGTGGTCTCTACTGCTACTACTAACACTACCTCTTTTTCTGCTACTACTATAAACTCAAAGGTCGGTTAACCTTCCTGGGCTTTGGCTTTCTCATCCTTAAAAAAATACTGAATTGGATTATGTGATCTTCAAAGACATAGTGTTCCAGATTTTGTAAAATTTGCAAGTTTAAGGTAAATTAGGTTTCAGAATTGTAAAGTAGCATTTGATTCTTGTAGTTCAATATACTAGTAGTTTTATGTTAATTGGGTTTTTTTTTTTCCGTTAAGCATCTGTGATCTGACTTTCTACTTTTATGGTTAATTTTCTTTTCTATTTTATCAGTACTCCCTCACGTGTTTCTAAAGGAGTTGTCGACCACACCAAAATGAGTCTACATGGTGCTAGTGGGGGGCACGAGAGATCAAGAGATAGACGAAGGTCAAGTGACAGATCACGAGATTCATCTCACGAAAGAACAGAATCTCAACTCACTCCTTGTATTAGAAATGTTACTTCTCCAACACGACAGCACCATGTCGGTATGTAAAATCAACTAAGCTTCCCAACAGTTTTTAAAAGCATGCATTTACTTTTTTAAAGGAGTAATGATAATTGTGCCTAATACTTAAGAGTAAAATTAACTTCTTAACTTCTTACTTCTGTTCAGTTGTTTCTGTTTTAGCTTAACTTCGTTCTTGCTGTGAAGAAACAACTCATTAAATGAAGCTTAAAAGTGAAAATTTTTAAAGTCTCAAATAGTCTTATAAAAGAAGTAGTTTGAAAAGCCTTTTAAAACTGTAAAATGTAGATTTAAATTTTTTTCCAAGTTGATCTTTATCTCGTGAAATATATATCAGTGCTTTATTTTAAAATAGTTTGAAGTAAATTATTGATAAGAATTCTTGGTTAATCATGCTAAAAAGGAAGTGAAAGTTAAAGTTAGAATAACCATCATGGAGTAATTTATCTTAATTTTTGACAATATTTTAAATTTAATTTAAAAAAAGAGGAAAAAGAAGGTGTGAAGTAGATTTCTTTTCTTTTGTTTAAAAAATTTTTTTTAATATGTTTTAAAAAAGCAGTTTCAGGTTCACAACAGAACTGAGCAGAAAATACAGAGTTCCCACATAGCCCTCCCCACCCACACATATATACTCCTGCTACCCTCAACGTCCCTCATCAGTGTGGCATACTTGGTACAATTGATGAACCAACATGGGCACATTATTATCAACCAAAGTCCATAGTTTACATTAGGGTTCACTCTTGATATTGTACATTCTATGGGTTTTGACAAATGCATAATGACATGCAGCCACTGTAGTACCACATAGAATAATTTCATTACACTAAAAATCCCTGTGCTCCATCTATTTATTCCTCCCTCCCTCCCTTTCCCCAGACTCCTGGAAACCATGATCTTTTTATTGTTTCTGTAGCTTTGCCTTTTCCAGAATGTCATTTGGTTGGAATTGTACAGTTTGTAGTCTTTTCAGACTGGGTTCTTTCATTTAGTAATATGTCTTTTAAGTTTCTTCTATCTCTTTCATGGCTTGATCTTTTTTTTTTTGACTGCACACATTTAAAAATTTACATATATGTACTCTTCATTGTTTCTAAGAACATTTAGAGCTTTAGCTTTTTAAACTTACATAGTTATCAAAGAAATAAAGCCAACCACAAAATAAGAATTAACTCAGAAGGATACATTCACCCTGCTATTAACAGCAACATGATTTATAATTGCCAAGATATGGAAGCATCCTAAGTGCATATCAATAGTTGAAAAAATAATGGAGATGCAGTGTGTGTGTGTGTGTGTGTGTAATGGAATACAACTCACCCATTAAAAAGAAGGATATTTTGCCATTTGTGGTCCTTCATTTACTTTTTTTTCTTCACTTCAAAAACCAGAATTTTATAAGTGGCAGAGACATTCCCATGACATCAAAAACAGCAAAATACCTTGAAATAAACTTAACCAAGGAGGTTACCTATAATCTGAAAACCAAAATGACACAAAAAAATGGAAAGATTTTTTGTGCTCTTAGATTGGAAGAATCAACACAATCAAAATGGCCACACTACCCGAAACAATCCACAGATCCAATGCAACCCCCATCA